TTTGCTATGCATAATTCGGGTCATCATAAAGTCCCTTTTACTATTTTTACACTTTACATTTAATTAAACCTTTTTACGGATATTACAAGTGTTTACACGGCAGTTCAATTAGTGAACAGCTAAATAAAATAAGCATGGAAAGAAATAGTAAACATTGAAAAAACTATTTAAATGACTATTTAAATTTAACTAAACTAAATAATTCAAAAGGATTATAAAAATAAAAATAAAAATTTTACCTTCTCCAAAAACTTATTTCTTTTGTTAAACTTTAATATGCAAAATTATGACGTTGTTAGAACGTTGTAAGATAAGCTTCTTCCAATTGAAGTTGTTTATTAGATAATTGTGCTATTTTAACTCAATTATCTCGAACATTTTAGTTCGGTGAATTCACTAATTGCTAACAATTAGTAAAATAATTACAAAAATACGTTAAATGTGAATAAATCATAACCGTGGAAGTTATATATTACTATATGACGTATATTATTTCCAATACTTTACAATATTAATCATGGATACTAAGAAAAACAAATTAATATTAGTATAAAAGATATGTTAACAAATCAAGTTATCATCAAATCGATATTTCACATAATAGATCGATATTTCACAAATCGATATTTCAACACAAAATGTTGATTTATTTATTCATTTTTAATAATGCAGTTTAGTTTAGATTGTTTTTGTAAATAAATAAAAATTTCGATTATGCGACAAAGATCACCAACAATTATTCAGTAAAAATCGTTATCAATATTAATATGCTCAAAAGAGTAGTGGTAACTGCTAAGGGTTATTTAATGTAATTTGATAATTTTTGAATAATTATTAGAATTAAAAAAGAAATAGAAGAAAATTAGTTCATATATCATTTTAAAAACAAAAAGCTTTAATTATACAAAAAATTGATGTATATCATGAATGAAATTCTAAATGTTATTAAAAGATTTGTGATTTCAGAACAAAAATTAATTTAATGAAAATTATGCTTAAGTTATTTTATTCAAACCGCTAAAGTATCACATTTCCTTTATTTATCTATTATTTTACAAGTATTTGATTAACACTTTATAAACCATAAAAATAACAAACATGGCTTTTATAACACACGCTAGAAAAAGAGTAAACATTACCAAAGAAGCCTATACTCTACTTTATTTAGAATATTTTTATCTCGTTTATACGAAAAATGGGTCGTGCGGTATACATTACAAGAAATACAATACAACACAAGGTAGAACAAGAACCGTAAAAGTTAACGATATTAGAAAAAGAAACACTTGAAAAGTGGACAGTGGAGTTTTATAATAACTCAGACGATGCGTTATCATACCAATATAATATACTTAAGGCGAATACATACTAAAGTGACTTTAATTTAGCATTTTAAAAATTAGATTGCAGGTTAATTGCACTTCCATAAGTGCTATAATACATTCTTTTGAATGAAAGCATTTATTACGCTTCCAAAAATTACACATATGCGAAGTAGCCGTCTAGCAGTTGAATACAAAAATTATAAAAGGAAAGATACAAGTTTTTCAAGTTACGTAGATAGATACATATGCAATTTGTATATGTGTATATACGAAATTTAAATATATATTGAACCCTTCAGGAACCAATGAAAGGTGTTGCTGATATAAACTTTGTAGTGGCATATGCTCTTGAGAAGCCGCAATAAATTCCTACTAAAGCACGAAATAAAAATATAAATTAAATAGGTTTTTATTTTTAAAAAACATATAATTATTTTAAAAATATGATATATATATATATAAATATTATATAATATATAATTTACAATTAGTAATTGTTACGTAAAAAAAGTAGCACTGAAGCGATATAATAATTGTTTTCTTCGTGGGATTGTTAATAAGAAAATATGAGTCATAGGTATATTAAAACATAAACATTTTAGGACATAGCTGACCTTTATATCTTAAACGTGATTTCTTACTATATCTATTTAGATATTTAAAAAATATTAATACAAAATTGCATATTTGTTGTTTGTTTATGCATAACCACTTCAAAAATATGCGACCGATATATATTAACATATTTATATTTAAGAGAAAATACTACCAGGATATTTCAGAAATCTTCTTGTCATTGTTAATAGTATTGATACTATTTCATTTTATTAAAAATTAAAAAAGCAATAGTAAATAAAATTATAAATTAATAAAAAATTAATTCATGAAAGCTATAAAAATATGTAATAAAGTTTTTACAATTGAAATGAATTTCGTTAAATTAATGTAATAAAATCATTATCTGTTTTATAAATCATTAGCACAATATAATAATTAACTTGTTAAAATTGCTTGTGTATAATAATTCAAATTATAATTAATTTAAAAGATGAGCAACTATAAATAATGTTTAGCTAATAATTTGAATAAGTCTAATCCTTTGTGTACATTTAACTCTGTTACTCTTTGAAGTAGAAGTGTGCTACTAACAGATATTTGATATAAAACAGACTAAAAGTAGAAACTGTGTCAAAACCACAAAAGCAACAACTTCAACGATTTTAGCACACAAAATTTAATGCAATTTTCAAGCGGCAAACGATCTTAGGTCTTTTGCGGTATTAAAAACTTGCAATACAACGAATTGGTATCTTTTTACTAAAAAAATAAAAAATCAGCAGACAAAAAAAGTAAATAAACAAGATATATTAAAAATAAATCATTAAACATTTCTGCATACATATTAGAGTAAATCAATGTTTTTTTACAACACAACGAAGATACTCATACGCAAAACATTATGCGAACGTTGAAATTTTAAATTTGTATGTAAGAAATTTTGATTTATGCTACAAGATTCTTAAACACAGATATGAATAAAAGCTTTAGCGTATATATCTTCTTTACCAATAAGAAAAAAAAACATATTACTTTGAGTCCAAACTCCAAATTTTTGTCTGCCTGTATTCCTGTGCATACAACTCAGAGCTTTGAATTCTTCTGAGCCATGATTGCATGTGGTTTCCATGCCAAAATATAAATGATTATAATGATTTAGGTAGAAATAATGTGTGTAAAAAAAAAAATAAACCAAAAAATTTGTAAGTCTGGCTTGCGTATACATATATATATATATATATTATGTATTATACAGAAAATTAAAAAATTCTGATAAAAATTATCTCAATGTTGGCATCGTTTTGTTTTGTGCATTTTGTATATAATATTCCCACTATTTGGCAATAAAATTGTTTATTTTCACAAAATTTAAAGTTTATTTTATATAACTTTTTTATTTTTTAATCGCAATTACTTGTATAAGTTAACATCTAACGAAGTTGAGATGCCAGTCTCATCAAGTATGTAGGGTGTTAAACTATGCCCAGTTACTTTTGTTTTGAAGAAAGAACTGGGAGTAGAAAAAACACGAGTGAAGTGAGCACATGTATGGTAAAGCATACAGTTTTGCATAGCAAAAAATTAGATTTACCGTCAGTGCGAATTTGAATTTTTTACAATATAAAATTAAGATTAATGAAGTTATATTATAAAAGTAAACTTTATATTATTGAAATTAAAAATATTTAATTGTGTTTTTTATTACTTTGCAAACATTATATAAAAACAAATAATATACATTTTACATTATAAATTAACTGTAAATAATAAATTTGTTAAATAAATGTTAACTTAAAAACAAAACCTATGGATTTTGGATATATGGAATAATATTACTACAGTAATAATAACTATAACAACAACAACTACAATAGTAGTTGCCTATCAAATATTTACGCAACAAACACAGCAACAACAAACGGTGTTACTGCTGCTGTCGTTACCATACATGATTCTTATAGATTATAACTTGATTTTGAATTTTACAACAAAAAAAAGAGTATTTGACAAAATAACGTAAATAATAAATTTTTACCTCAAAGACACGCAGTACGGAAATTTACGAATTCTTTAATAAATTAAACCCGTGAATTGTGCAAGATTTAATGGCAGTACAATTTTAAACATAAGTGCATTTATAAAACAAAACTTAATAAATTTTAATTAATAAATAATTTAAATAAAAAAATTAATTTATATAAACACCTTCGCAATGTGCTGAAGTGCATTGTCTTTGAGCAGCTGTCTCGGCTACATTTATCCTTTTTACTGCATTTTTTTATTTAGGAAATATTTTTATTTGGGAATGTTTTTGAATTAGTGAAAACTATATTAAACTTATATACATTATGTATGTTAAAGTACAAAAAATAAAAAACTTAGCAATAATTTTCTATTTTTATACAAAATAAATAACAATATTCCGGCCACAATATTGTACAGAGTTTAAACACAAACATATAAGCATCAATAATGCTGAACTCTATATATTTTATTCCATAAAATATCAAAAAAATTCTGCTTCTGAGTAACCATAGAAGTGAAAACAGTAAAGATTACTTAGCATAAAGATATCAGAATATTATAAAAACAAGAAAATTTGATGATCCATAAGGTGGTTTGCTAAAATGGGTACCGTGTTTGCACACAGTGGACTACAGTGGAAAACAATGATTTGAGAAAATTTTTGATGCAGCACTATTTGAAGTTTTTTTAGTGCAATAAAGTAAATTATTTCCATTCGATATATGATAATGGATAAATTGATCTATCATTGGACTGCATAGTAAAATCGGCAGTCAGTGAAGAAACCAGCAACCGGCGATAGCCGTCAGCTGATAATGTTATGATTTTTGTCAACACAACATTTCAGTCACCGATCACCTTAAGAAAGGAAGAACAATCGATAGAGAATATAAAATAGAGATTATAAAATAGCGATTATAAAATTGTGCTTTTTAAAATTCTATAAAAACAATAGAAAAATACAACCATGATTAGCAAATAAAAATGATAAAAGCAATAAGTACATAAAGTGCTTGCAGATTTTAACTAATTACATCTGTAAAATCTAATAAAAATAAAGTCCCAACACTAGGAGGGGTCACAGATATAGTCATGGCCTCTGCCTACTTCCCAGGTGATGAAGTAACCATTCCACCATCGGAAGTCCAGCAGCTGATCAACTTCTGCAAGTCCACTGGGCGACAGCTAATCTTGGGCTGTGACGCTAATGCCCACCACACAGTGTGGGGGAGCAGCAATGATAACAAAAGGGGTGAGTACCTATTAGATTATATTATGTCGGTAGGATTAAGTATAGCTAACAAAGGTAGTAAACCCACTTTTATTAATGCAATTAGAGAAGAGGTATTAGATCTCACTCTTTGCACTAGGGGTATTGAGGAATCTATATGGAATTGGCGAGTGTCGGACGAAGTGTCCCTCTCAGACCATCAACATATTAGGTTTGAAATTCCCAGTATATCCGAGCAGCAAGATAAAGTGTACCGGCCGAGGAAAACCAACTGGCTTAGGTACAGGGACTTGGTGGGTTCCGAAAATTTTTCTCTAGCTAGGCCACTAAGAACTCGTGAAGAGATAGAGTTGGCTGCAAACCATTTAGGTGAGGTTTTACTGACCTCCTTTCACAACAGCACGGTTGCAGGTAATGCTTCGATTAGAGGTAAGGTTCCTTGGTGGAACATGCAACTAGCTAATAAGCGTAAACTAGTAAGAAACTTATTCAATAGAGCAAAACGCTCTGGTAGTTGGGAACAGTATAGAACTGCACTCACCGACTACAACAATTCAATCAGACAGTCCAAACAGGCCAGCTGGCGTAGCCATTGTGATAGTATTGATAGGTTGCCTGAGGCTGCTAGACTACACAAGGCTTTAAATAAGGTCAAAACAAATGAAGTAGGACTTTTAAAAAAACCCGACGGATCATTCACTACTGGTCGTGAAGATACCCTCGAGTTTCTCTTGCAAACACACTTCCCTGGTTCCGTATCCGGACCACCCACATCACATTCATATAGGGAAGTTACTGCTCCTACATGTCAGGAATACGCACTATCTGGTGTTATTTTTGACAGGGACAAGGTGAAATAGGCGATCAACTCATTTCAACCATTTAAGGCGCCTGGAGGCGATGGTATCTACCCTGCTCTATTGCAGGGTAGATATTATATCCCTCATTCCTGGAGAGGAGTGAACGTGATCTTCATTCCCAAACTTGGGAACAAACCTATGGACCAACCTAAGTCCTACAGACCCATTAGTCTTACGTCTTTCTTATTGAAAACCGTCGAAAGGCTGATTGATCTGTACATACGGAATAAATTGGAACAAACTGTCCCACTCCACTCCACCCAATATGCCTACTCAAAAGGCAAATCTACAGAGGTCGCGCTGTATCATTTAGTCAGCAAAATCGAAAGCACGTTTCAATCTAAAGAGATCGCCTTATGTGCATTTCTGGACGTAGAGGGAGCTTTCGATAACACATCTTACGAATCCATATCTGGAGCACTGGCCCGTAAAGATATAGACTCATGTACAATAACGTGGATAGATAGAATGTTGCGTGATAGGAACATATCCTCCAAGTTAGGTAGCACTATCGTCAGCATTAATGCTGTACGGGGCTGCCCCCAGGGTGGGGTTCTCTCACCATTGTTATGGACGCTGGTAGTCGATGACTTACTAGTTAAACTGGAGCAATCTGGATATCATGCCATAGGTTATGCAGATGACCTGGCAATCATTGTTACAGGTAAATTTGACACCACAATTACAGATGTAATGCAAGCGGCATTACACAAAGTCTCGAACTGGTGTATCAAAGAAGGCCTAAGTATTAACCCAAAAAAAGCGGTAATTGTGCCTTTTTCCAGAAGGTACAAAGTAAATATTGGGTCCCTATCTATTAAGGATACGGCTATCGAATGCTCCGATGAAGTCAAATATTTGGGGGTCACCCTAGATAAGCGTCTTAACTGGAACACTCACCTGAATAATATAATTGGCAAAGCCACCCGGGTCATGTGGACATGTAGGACCTCATATGGTAGAACCTGGGGCATAAGTCCTAGAATTATATCATGGTTATACCGCACAATGGTCAGACCCATTGTAACCTACGCAGCTCTTGTTTGGTGGAATAAAGCGCAACAAAATGCTGCAATAGTCAAATGCAATAAACTGCAAAGACTCGTATATATCGCTATGACGGGAACTATTCGAACATGTCCCACATCAGCACTGGAGTCCATAGTGGGTCTCACCCCTCTGCATCTCTTTATTAAAAAGACAGCAGCTATGAGTGCAGCTAGGCTACACCCTGTCATCAACATGCACGGAAGTCTCGTCAGTCAAAACTCTATCTGCAGACTAGTTCCTGGCATAGAGATCTGCGATAGGACAGATCGCATGAACATGGAACTTCGCTTCGGTAGGAAGTTCGAAGTCCTCATACCCGATCGACTGGACTGGGTAAATGGCACTCCTGGATTTGAACTAAAAGTGATATCATGGTATACTGATGGCTCAAAAACCAAAGAAGGAGTTGGAATATTTGGTCCTAACACCAGAATCTCGCTCCCGCTGGGTATATGGCCCACTGTCTTCCAAGCAGAGGTTCACGCCATCGAGGTCTGCGCTCGTATCAACATTAACAAGGGGTTGAAAGGCGCCCGAATCTGTATTTATTCAGATAGTCAAGCAGCAATTAAAGCGTTATGCTCCTGGAAGTTTTTCTCAAAGCTTCTAGCAGACTGCTATGACACACTGCAGCAGTTGGCAAGCAATAATAAAGTGACACTGTGCTGGGTGCCAGGTCACACAGGAATCCATGGCAATGAGTCTGCCGATAGTCTTGCACGGGCAGGATCCGCCACTCTAATATGTGGCCCAGAACCTTTCTGTGGATTAAGTTGGTCTACAACTAGGTCTCTAATCAATGATTGGATTTCAACCGAGAGAAGTCGCTACTGGCGTGACAGTCGAGGTAACCGTCAGGCTAAAGAGCTGGTTCTCCCTTATAGCTACAATAAGATATCCACTTTCAGCAGAACAGAGTTGAGGATGCTAGTGGGATATCTAACGGGTCACCATGGGCTACGTTACCATCTCAACAAAATGGGCCTATCTGAAGAGATAGATTGTAGACTCTGCTTAGAGGCAGAGGAGACAACCAGCCACATCTTATGTGACTGCCCAGCTCTGATCTGGGTCAGGAGGAGATCACTGGGTCGGGAATTGCTTTCACCTTCCGACATTAGGAAGTCCTCAACAACCGACATTTTGACCTTCATTCGAAAGGCGGAATGTCTATTGTTCAGTTAGGGTCTGTTGTAGCACAAAAGATCAATCATGGTCGCAGTGCTCTGCTCAAATGGGAGCTAGTACCCTGTTATTTCTATTCTATTCTATCTGTAAAATCTTTGCTACAGTACTTCAATCTACAATAGGCTAGAAATAGAATCTTAAAATTAAACTTATTACCAACAAATACTTTTAAAATGCAAATCTACTCTCATCAATCAAATTGTAACATAATTATGTTGTGTATGTGTTTAGGTTGACATAATAATAGAATTATGTCAAAAATTGCTTAATAAAAGCTGAATTTATTTCTAAATAAAGAACAAGTTTAGTGTTTAAGTGAATTCATAGAACAAAGGCCCTAAATAGTTTCAATTGTGCATTATAATTTTTTAAAAAAAATTTATTTTTTTATTTTAGTAATAGAAATTCGGACGAAATAAAATAAAAAATATTTATATTTCAACTTTAAAAATAAATAACGCAAATTATCTATTTAAATTTTCCGCTTAACAAAACATTATTTTTAGAAAACCTTTAAATTTATTGAACCAAAATATACCGCCTCATTTTATGCTAAATAGTTGAACCTTGGCTTATTAATTTACTCATGCAATTAATAAAACTATCGTAAAAGCCTCATCGCAGAAAGATAAAAGAAAAAATATTGTATACTCGTACACAAATATATCCCACAGTTTCAATATTAACCGAAAATATATGCACATTTGTATTCGTTACAAATGATAACTTAACAACTATAACAGCATTTTTGAATAACGTTATAATTAAAACTCAACATAAATTTACATTATAAAAATGCAAATTAATTATTAATAAAAATATTTTTATTGATACACACCATTTTTATACATAGATTTTTAACACTTCATTAAGATTTCATTATTGAATTATGTGAGACCCTTAAAATAGCCCCCCAATTCACTTAACTTTAATCTGTTGACAATAGTTTGAAAAAATTAAGTTTAACATAAATTAATATTAAATTATGTTAATCTTAAATTATATTTAAAAAAAAGTTTAAAGGTAAAAAAATTAGGGTTTTTGAATAGGCAGGTACACGGTAGAACAGTTGAATTTTACTATATATAATTGTACTATATAATAATAATTATAAGATCAAGTAGTGATAAGTATATCGTGATCCAAATAAACTAAAATTATAAATAAATAAGCGTTGCAAAATCTGTTGGTTCAAGCTCCTAAGTCTAATTCGGCTTAATGAAAATTATATCGTGATACTTAACCTGTTTCATAGTAATCACAAACCTCGATCAAATATAGTAGTTCATCCCTGCAATATACATATATAGTTTTATATAGTTTTGATATTACTTTTTAATATATATAAAAACTAAATCCATTTTGTTACTATATTTTATCTTTACGTTTTAAGTGTTCTTCTAACTTAAATCAATTATAACAAGTTGAGTTAATCAAAAAAATACATACCTATTAAATTTTATACATCAGTTATCACACATTAATGTGAAACTGTTGATTTTAATACTTCATTCATATTTATTGTTAATTTTTTTTTTTAAAAAAAATGTGTATGTAGATTAATTTTCTTTTTCTTCCATGACTTCATAAATTAAAATTTTATTTTAAAAATTCAATTTTCAAACACAATATAAACATTGTTATATAAAAAACAAGCATTGATTTTGATGAACTCACATTAGAGTTGATGACTCACATTTCAAGCGTTTTATCTTGTAACTTTTTATTGACCACTATCAATTTTTTCATAGTGTTTGATTTATAAAAATTCTTTACTTTAATGATGTAATTTTGTATAATACACATAACATTAAAATAAATAGGTGTGATTGAAGTGAGGTTTTTAGTAGTATTTCTTGTAATAAAATAGAGATAAAATAGTGCACAAATTGTTGATGTATTAAAAACTTGTTCGATTAAAAAATATCTTTACTTCTGGACGAAATATTACGCCTTTAATATAAAGAAGCAATTTAGTTACATGATATATTTCATATGTTTTATCATATAATAACCATATTCAAATAATTTCAATTACTAACACATCGTTAACATCGTTAAGTGAGTTCCCTTGGGATCACCGGTATAATCTAACCTACCTAACTTAACGCCTCGTTTTCACTATGTCATTTTAAATGTCAAATATTGTCAGTATAATGAAAACGGGTAGTCAAATGATGTCATAGCGCATTCTTGTCATGTAATGAAAACGCATGTGACACCTCAGTCAATTATAATTGTCATTTAAAATGATATAGTGAAAACCAGGCATAACTTTTAAGTTAACTAACCATTGAATGAAATATATTGCTTTAAAACATTGACTATTTTATTATAAACTAGCATTAAAAGTATGTATAGAGATTTTCTAAAAAAAAATTATACGTATAATAAATTTCTTTAAATAGATGATGTTATTTTTTAATAAAACGAGTATTTTCATAATGTTATTTAACTTAAACCAAATCTTTTTCCTGATGATAAGCCGAAATATCGATCAAATAAAAATTATTTTAAAATAAATCGTGGTTTTTTTTTCTTAAGAAAAAAAGTGCCAGTGAAAGCACTTTATTAAAAGCGTTTGCTTATAAAACAATACATATCCAAATTGTTTAAGTAATTTGAAATGATTGAAATTATTCTAATGAATTAAAAAAATCTACTTTATTTTTAAAATAGTTTAAATCTGAAGTTTTAATAAGGTTGTAGTATGAAAGAACTCTTTTTAATTCGACATTAAACATCTAGTTAGTACAGCTATA